CAGTGTGCATAATTTTTATTTTTTTGGCACAGAATTCCCCCAGGAGTAAAATTTGCAAGACTGTAGAAGTTAATACACAACCTACACTGGCTTGACTGGAAAATTAAACCTTTATTTAATTGCCCAATATATTTGTCCCATTTGTATAAGCAGTAAGATTTTTCCCAGCCTGACTGTAGATGACTTTGAGATACACTAGAACAGTGGGTTCTCAACCAGTGGTTCCCGTGCCCCTGGGGATACGCAGAGGTCTTCCAGGGGGTATGTCAACTCATCTAGATATTTGCCTAGTTTTACAACAGGCTATAGAAAAAGCACTACTGAAGTCATTACTGATTTTGGGTGCTTTTTCTTATAGAGGAACCTATTACCCCCCCATCCCCTGTCCTTATTTTTTACAGTACAAACTAAAATTTCATACAGACAAGGACTTGTTTATACTGCTTTATATACTATACACTGAAATGTAAGTATAGTATTTATATTCCAATGGATTTATTTTATAATTATACGGTAAAAATGAGAAAGGAAGCCATTTTTCAGTAATAGTGTGCTGTGACACTTTTTTTTGATGTCTGATTTTGTAAGCAAGTAGCTTTTAAGTGAAGTGAAACTTGGGGGTATGCAAGACAAATCAGACTCCTGAAAGGGATACAGCAGTCTGGAAAGGCTGAGAACCACTGCACTAGAACATGTTCTTCACTATTATAATAGGGTGACCAGATGTCCTAATTTTATTGGGACAGTCCTGATTTGGGGGGCTTTTTCTTATATAGGAACCTATTACCCCCCACCCCCTGTCTTTATTTTTTACACTTGCTACCTGGTCACCCTAATTATAAAGACAATTAAAAATGATCAGCATTGTATCAGTCCCACTTAGTTTCACTTCAACTTAAGCATTGCACAACAATTTTTACAACAAAATTACTAAATCTTAACCCAACTACCAACTATTGCATTAATCATCCGGGATATATTAGTTAATGAGAACATCCTTAACTACAGCAACCATACATTAATGTTAACTAGATCTAGAATTATTTGTAAATTTTCAGCATAATAAAGAAAGTTACCTATAAAAACATACCTCACCAAGTAGATGACAAAAGGTTTAGCACTTTCAGTTTCCCATTTACTTTACACATCTGACAGCATGAAAATAGGACTTTCTGTGATAGGATAATTGCATACTGAAAAGTAATTCAAGTAGTGGATGAGTATGATAAAAATCACACTGAATCAACTAATCACTATGAAAAGTGATGAGAAAGAAAGATAAAATCAAGCCAGGATATAAAAGGAGGAAAAATGTTCAACACTGATTAGTAGCTGAGAACAAGTTGATGCGTTTAAAAAATATCTGAAGGACTTTAAATTACTCTATTTCTGTATTTTCAAGTTTTATCAGGACCTATTTCACACAGATTAAACAGTCTACATTACTAGGATTTTCTGAATGATGACTGCCTCCGATCACTATTTCTGCCAAATGCTGAAAATATGCTGTTTGAAATAATTATTATGTGCCAGTCACTTGAAATACTATTTAAATCAAAATGTAGATTTCTGGCAGAGATGACTACTTGCAGTTAATTCAATTAGTAATTAGGACTGGATCAAATTGTGGTACCACTAGAGCAGCAACATGGTATGAATATTTGGATTTTGAACCCTGTTGATGGATGCCCCAATTATGTCGGACGGGGGGAATTCTGGAGTGTTTCCATTATATTGGGGCTTACTGGATTATGAGTGTCTGAGCTCTAGAAGTTAATATTTTGGTTGCAATTTTGAAATTTAGGTTTTGGAATGAGCATTGATCTTTGGCATAGGTTCTTCTTGTACCGGTTTCTTATTAATCTAAATAAATACCAGAATCCTGCAATATTTACATTAAAAAAACATTATTCCAGGATCAGTTAAATGCAGCATGCTTTTTGTCTCAAGGGGAAGCATAGATGAGCTAACTGTAGATTTGCTGCACAAGATACAAGTTGTGTAGAACTAGCATTGTACTACAGGATTTCAGAGCTTTTCAAGAAGTGCAACTGGCAAACTGCCATCCTTCACATTATAAATGTATTATTATAACTTCAAAAACATAGCAGTCACTCACTAAGCCTCAGCAGGAATAAGCATCTTATTCATCCCTCTAACTGTCACCTCAAAATATCTAAGGTGGCTACATGTTATGTAACTGTTTCCAGTAAAGCTATTATCTTGCAATCAGAGCTAAGCAGATTTTCAATAATAATAAAACCACTTCCAAATATGGTTTTGCAAACTTTTTTTTCTTAAAGATTAAGGAGAACAAGACATATGTGTATCGGGAACTCTGGGTTCTAGCCACCTTTTATTGCACCAAAGCCTCTTCTCACCATACTGTATTCATGCTTTAATTTCATAGAATTCTGGCGGACTGTTACTCAGAGCAATCCATTACGGTCCATATAAAACATTATTTCTTGGATATCAAGACTATGTCTATAAAAGGAGATATCAAGACCATGTCTATAAAACATTTCTAAACACCACACAAATTCAAATTAGAGAGCATGCACTGCAGTGCTGTAACTGAGACACCAACTGCTCTTTCCTACTGATTCCCCATTCCTGTAAACAGACATTGTCTTTCATTACCTGTAGTTTGCGACTCTCTGTTAGCTACAAATATCAGTGCTGCACTGAAGTGCTTTAGTGGAGCTCTCTTGATGCTTTTTTCCCACATTTCCTGATCTCAAAGCAGTACTCCTTCTGCTAGGAAATAAGGAAACTGATCCCTTCACAGTCAATATTGTGCAACTCCCTGCAGAAGATATTCAAGTGCAGGTTCTGCTCTAAAAAGGGACAGTAAAAATAGCATTGTGGGGTGTCATGTATATTATCTCTCAGAGCCTCCCTGTCAAGTGTGCTCAGTTTATAGGTTAAAAGACATTTTATTTTACAGTCAACCCAGAAAACTCAACCTTGAATCTGGAAGTCTAGCAGAATTCTTTACTTTTTCTGATAATGCACAAGAAAAACAGTTCTACAGGTCAAATTTTGCCTTCAGTCACACCAGTGAAACTCCAGTGTCTTCAGCTGCTGCTTTCAGTGACACTTCTGGAACCGCAGGACCTTCAGTGCATTGATGTGGACACAGCAGCAAAATGAGGACAAAATGCATAGAATTTAGTGGCAGGCCACAACTTTTATTAAACTTTATCACAAGGGAGGGGAGCTACCCACCCACCACCGATACTCTCCTATACTAGCCATTTATTTGGTTCCAGTGCTGGGTACCTTACCCATAATGTGGGGTAGAGTCTCCTCAGCTTACCCGCATGACTCAGCTCCCTCTGAGTCCTAGCACCCTCTGTCCCTGAAGGAGACAGAGGGTGCAGCAGGGCAAGGACCTCAGCCCGAGAGGGCCACAAGGTCTCACCCTATCACATGAGCCCAAGGCCCATCACCAAAATTTCAGGTCTTTTACCTCTCTTAACTGCACAGGAAACTAACCACAGGGGGAACCAGTGACTATCTTTGTCACCCCACACACACACAACCACACCCCACATCTCCTGGTATCAATTCCTGCCCAATACATACCCTCATAACCGTTCTCAAACCTCATTGCACCACGACCCCCTTCTGACAACAAAAATTACTACATGACCTCAGGCGGGAAGACAGAACTTGAGCCCCGCCGCCCTCAGGCTTCAGCTTCAGCCCTGGGCCCCAGCAAGTCTCACGCTAGCCCTCGTAACCCCATTAAAATGGGGTCCTGACCCACTTTGGGGTCCCGACCCACAGTTTGAGAACCGCTGAGTGTACCCCTATGTCAGCACCTCCATTTAACAAATGTACACAATCAACTTGGAAAACTTCTGGCCAATTGAAACAGATGTTCCTGTGCTGTATCACTGAACCCCCTATGTCCAGGAATATCTTGGTGACCTGTCTATTCACTTTCACCCATCTTCTTTTACATCCTGAGGAGGAGGACGAGGATTGCTGCTGCAAGCTGGTGAGTAACTCTGCTGGAACAGAGCCAAAAGAGGTTCCACATGGCCCATGCACTGGGCTAAGTCCTGGGAGCTGGGAAATGCTGGCCAATCGGCACCCCTCTTCCCCAGCCAGCCAATGAATGCCACAGACTCCCAGAGGAGGAGCTACCTTTTGTCCCTTGCTGAGGGTCTCCATCCCATGCCTCTGGAAATGACCCCCTTTCACCGCTGGCCCCATCGATTTCCCCTACCCATGTATGCAGGTGGGTGGCATTTTGCACATGTATAAACGAATGGAAGTTAATAAACAATTGTTGATGATACCCAAGAAGAAACAGAATACAGCTCACTCTCTCAACTGTGTGGGTTGTGCAAAGCTAACGGGAATCAAAAGTGGTAAAAACATTGATTTTTGTCACTAAAATCAGCATATATGACTCTGAAAACACAAATTGCCACTCCACCCGTTATAAACATTGCTGTGGAAAGGAGTTTCAGCAATATGAGACAAGCAGAAAATGATGTACAGTAGACACATTTGCCACCCTTTATTACACATTTACCACAGATGGGGGGAAGGGGAATCAGATTGTTCAATCAAGGGAGATTAGACTAGGCAGATCCCTTCAAATATTATTTTTTATAGTTCTATAGGGTACTGCAATTAATTCTGCTTTGGTTTTGTTTTGTTGATATACAGATATATATATACCATTATTTTATCAGCAAATATGACACTAAGAATATTTGTAATAAACTGGTACTTCAAAGCTTGCCACATATGCAAAGCTTTTACATGATTATCATAGGTAAATGCGCTGCCAAATTTATCTTACTGATAGTATTATCAACTTTCATCTACTTCTGAGAGCTGGACCTTAAAAACACTTCTGAAGTCTTTTGGTACTTTTTACACCATCACCTTCAATTACCATGGATGCAACATTCTAAGCTACTGACACATTTTGTACAACTGCACAAAATATTAAAGCAAAATGATCTGCTACTTACCCGTACAGCTTCAGACTTTTTATGAAACATTTCTTCCATACTTTTTGCTAGCTTTTTCACAAGCTGAAGGCCATCAATTTCTTCTATTGAAACATCCTTCTCGTATTCTTTGTATTTCTGCAAGAAAGTAGAATTGTAAAAGGAAGTTACTTGAAATTCTGACAACTTGTAACTTGATGCATACTCCATTTTTTCTGGCTTTTGTACATTTCCTTGGTATTCAGTTGGGTACTGGAGAACTAGTTAATGCAAAAACACTTTTACTGAGATGGATCTGTTAGATCCAGAACGCCAATGGTGAAAAATAGAATAAAATGTATTCATCCTTTCCACTGTGGGGAAAGGAACCAAAACTGCTCAAACATACATAACAGCAAATAGTATAACCAAAAAGACCTTATTTTAAACTAGTGATATGTCCCTAGTCCCCTCTAGTTTTAGGTCCCCAGAGCTAGCCTCCTTCAACTAAAATTAAACAGAACTTGAATAATCTAGCTCTTCTTAGGCCCTGATTCAGAAAACCATGTAAGCATGTGCTTAACTTTATATACATGCATACGGCTATCCCTAAACAGCAAACTGCCCTTTCACAGGAACAAATGAGGACGAATCCTACTTTGTGGTCTCTTCTCTTTTCAATGCACGTTTATGCACAAGTAACTCTTGGTAGCATGAATAAGAATTAGACAGGTATGGAGAGACAAATACATCCCAAAAGCATGTCAGCCATTCATTTGCGGCCTCCTTTTGTTCTTTTCTGCATGTCAACATTTTGAATTTTATTTCTGTATCGGTGTTTACAATAATAATAAAGCAACTGTATTTTCTTTGGGATCAGTCCTGAAGATGGTAGTGTATTCCCCTCCCACCATGAATAATCCCATTATAGTCAATACACTCAGCCATAAAGGTTTTCATAATCAGGCTATAGTTTTGTAATCTGACTCCCTCTCTTTAAGGGTTTACTCTTGCTGCTTATGAATGAAGTAATTGGCAAAACTCCCATTATGGCAAGAGGAATACGATAGTATGTAATTAGGGATGAACCCATCAAATTTAGTATCATGAATTATATCCTTTTCATATTATTAATTATATTTAATTATTCTATAGAATTATTCTATTCCATTCCATAGCTTCATCAGGAACAGAAGCAAGCATATTATTAATTAATTATTATTATTATTAGGTGCCTCCACGAACAGATAAGTAATGTGAGGTTCCTGCTCTGAAGACTTTACCATCAAAGTTCATTTAAAATACTAGGAGGATGCATAGGAGTTACAGTAATAAGATACACAACTACTTATCAAAGACATGTGAGCATCATGGTGGGACACTTTAAAAAATAAACACTAATGAGAAATGAGTTTATATATGAGAAATATATGAACGCTTACTGTTGAATATATTATTTTTTAATGCTAGACCATATTATAGAGACAAATATGAACCAAAATCCCTGATCTTAGGAGCTCACATTCAAAGTGAAGAAAGGCAATATCATTTGGCTTGTGGTTATGTTCCACTACAAATTAGGTTTTTTTTAAATCTCTGCACTCTACACGCTCCATGCACCATTCTTAAGCTCAGGCACTGCCAGTAAAATTTAAGACTTTTCAAAATTCGCAAATTAATGCCCTGATCCTGCAAACACTTAAGCATGTGCACAACTTTACTCATATGAATAGTCCTATTTGACATTCACATGCCCACTCACAGGAAGCAAATTCTTCCAGGAAATCTCATTGTAAGAGTTATACTCACTGGTCAGGAAATAGAAGTACTATCATGTGACTAAAAGCGAAGCATTGCAGCTCAAATTTGATATTTTCAATTTTGACCACCAAGCCATAAAATGTACAATAGACATGGCACATGCTTCTTGCAGCCCTGATTCAGAAAAGCTCGTGAGTGCTTAAGTCCCACTGACTTAAGCATATATTTAAGTGCTTTGCTGAATCAAGGACCTAACCAGAGGTTTACATATTTTCAGTATTGCACTCCCCAGTTACTGCATCATAAGATGACACAATCCTCTAAGATAGAGTATCTTCTTAAAGACAATGCACTCACCACAGCTCAACATGGTATCCTGGCCAGAAGCAAAAGGTTGTTGCCCTTTTAAGGATTCCACCCTACAGTCATAGTACAGGGGGAAAGTTTACAGGGACAGGAAAGAGCTGAAGGGAGGGCAGGGAGCACTACCCTGCCTGCTGACCAAGACAGTGGCAGGTATTTATACCCTGGGCATCACCAGAGAAGCCCTCTTTTATCTGGATCAGGCTGGCAGAGACTACGATACCCGTACGAGGAACTAAGGAAACAAATCAACAGAGCCAGACGTGTACCCAGAAGCCTCTTGCTGAAAGACAAGCCCAAGAAAGAAACCAACAGAACTCCACTGGACATCACCTATAGTCCTCAGCTAAAACCTCTCCAAAGCATCATCAGTGATCTACAACCCATCCTGGACAACGATCCCTCGCTTTCACCAGCCTTGGGAGGCAAGCCAGTCCACGCCCACAGACAACCTGCCAACCATAAGCATATTCTCACCAGCAACCACACACCGCACCATAGTAACTCTAACTCAGGAACCAATCCATGCAACAAACCTCGATGCCAACTCTGCCCACATATTTACACCAGCAACACCATCACAGGACCTAACCAGATCAGCCACATCATCACCGGTTCATTCACCTGCACGTCCACCAATGTAATATACGCCATCATGCACCAGCAATGCCCCTCTGCTATGTACATCGCCCAAACTGGACAATCCCTACATAAAAGGATAAACGGACACAAGTCAGATATTAGGAATGGCAATATACAAAAACCTGTAGGAGAACACTTCAACCTCCCTGGACACACAATAGCAGAGTTAAAGGTAGCCATCCTGCAGCAAAAAAACTTCAGGACCAGACTCCAAAGAGAAACTGCTGAACTTCAGTTCATTTGCAAATTTGACCCCATCAACTCAGGATTAAACAAAGACTGAATGGTTAGCCAACTACAAAAGCAGTTTCTCCTCCCTTGGTGTTCACACCTCAACTTCTAGAAGAGGGCCTAATCCTCCCTGATTGAACTAACCTCGTTATCTCTAGACTGATTCTTGCCTGCATATTTATATCTGCCTCTGGAAATCTCCACCACATGCGTCTGATGAAGTGGGTATTCACTGTTAGTCTATAAGGTGCCACAGGACTCTTTGTCGCAATGTATATATTGTAACTTGTCCCAGTTGCAAATAAGTTTGATCTTGTTTTATACTAAAAGGTGAGTAAACAGTTAATTTGTTACAAAAATATTTGACAAGTGTTTGCCTATTTCTGCTTATGGAATGCTGCAAACAAAACAAGGTTTCCTTGAATTTATTCAACTTAATCCTATTTATTTTATTCATTTTTTTATTTATTTTATTTTTGGTGATTTTTCTCTTATTCTACGATTAGGTCATAATTCAAAATCCCAAATAGAAGATTTTTAATCAGTTTCGCTAGTCACATAAAAGTGACATGAAATTAACTGATTTAGGGAATGGAAACAATTAACATAACACTTTACAATCAAGTTTCTTGGAATTTGGTTTCTGAGACATTTGACTTTATGAGCCCAAAATATCATTTTCTGTGACCATTCATGCTAGGAAAGGTGAACTGCACAAGTGTTCATACTAAAGAAACATGAAAAGGAAGTAAACGCAGCTGAAGTGAATTAAAGTAAACAATCAAACCAATATCTGCAGATTTTTTTTGTAGCATTTATTTTTGTTTGCAATCATATAAAAATAATTTTCCATTTCTAATGTCAACATTCTTGCAAAAAGAGTAATGGATGCCTGAAAGAAAAGCAAGTTGGGGGACAATACAATACATAGTATGATTGTATGATCGTTTTGTGCCCCAAGGTAACCTTTTCATCACTCTCTGAAGACCTATCTACACTAAGAAGGTCTTTTGTTTTGTTTTTAAGTTTCCCACCTTTGGTAACACCCGCTCAACTCCACTGGTGTTAGCACAGTTAGTCCGAGGGAAGACTGAATGCCACAAGTATTTTTAACACCATATTGAGACTCCAGAGAAAGTGCAACAACAAAAAAAGTTGATAATACTTGAATTCAGGTAGCTCTTCAAGACCAAGAGTAAATTCCAGTGATGGACAGTAAGCACAAGCTCAGGAAACATATAGCAAGAAGAGTTCTTTTTTGCCATACTAAAATTTTCAGAAAACAATGGTCTATACCAGGGGTCGGCAACGTTCGGCACGCGGCTCGCCAGGGTAAGCACCCTAGCAGGCCGGGCCAGTTTATTTACCTGCTGACGTGGCAGGTTCGGCCGATCGCAGCCCCCACTGGCCGCGGTTCGCCGTCCCGGGCCAATGGGGGTGGCGGGAAGCGGCGCAGGCCAAGGGATGTGCTGGCCGCGGCTTCCCGCCGCCCCCATTGGCCGGGACAGCGAACCGTGGCCAGTGGGGGCCGCGATCGGCCAAACCTGCCGCGTCAGCAGGTAAATAAACTGGCCCGGCCCGCTAGGGTGCTTACCCTGGCAAGCCACGTGCCGAACGTTGCCAACCCCTGGTCTATACTCACTTAAGCCTGACTACATGTCTGTAATGACCTATTTAGATGGGACCTTTTGTGAACTATATAATCTTTTTGATCAATACCCTTGGGAGAAACTTTCATGAACAGGGTCAATAAAGAAGCAGCTGTAGTACTCTCCTGGAATCAACTAAATATTTGAGCCAATGACATTAATTACTGTCTAACAAGTTTTGTAACTAAAACTTGCCCATGGAATTAATATCATGAAGATCAGGGGAAATAGAAGATTTCTCAGTTAACTTCTAGGTGCACTATGAATTTCAGATTTTCTATAACATTGCCATTTCAGCAGTACATACTAAAGACTTACCATTGTGCAATTTTGTTCTAATAGACTTTTCAAAAGGAGTCTATTAATTAAACTCTAACTAGTTTTGAAAAGCTTCATTTAAACCAACCTGAATTTTGATGCTGCTTTTTTTTTTAAAATCTGCCATGTTAATAGAACAAGCAGAATTTAGGCTACTATTCCCCAAGGGTATTTATGCCATTTTACATAATTAAC